ACAGCTCTCCAAAGTGCTTCTCCACATTTGTGACAGCATCTTGCAGTTGTCTGGTTTGAGCATCCCTAGAGAAAAAGATGACACAAAAAGAAAATCATTCTCATTTGAGATGAGATGGCTTCATCTTCACGTTAATTTGATTATGCCAACATTCCCGGGGTATTCTGCAGCTTCGACGGCGCAAACCTTCAAAGATCCTACCATCTCCCAAGGCCGATCCTCCTCCTCTAGGTCCCCATTCGGGGCCTGGCCTCCACATCCCACAGTGCAGGCGCACGAAGAGGCCTGGCCCCGGCCGGCGGCGCCGCTGCGAGGTGGCGGCTCCCGGGGCAGCTCCGCGCTACGCTGCCGGGGCGCGCCCGGCTGCCACCCGGCGTCTGCACCGCCCGCGGCAGTGCGGGGGCCGGCGCCTGGGGAGCTTGAGGGCCGGCCACCGGGGCTCGCCGAAGCCCAGGGAGGTAGGCCCCAGAGCGCGGCGGCGGATGTCCAGCCCCCGGCCCCGCGCCGCAGCTCGGCGCGGAGGCCCACGGAGGAAGGCTCCACTCCCCCACCCGAGCCCTCGCGTGTGGCGGCCCTGGGCAGCTGCGGCCCCGGGGCTGTTACCGGTTTTCCAAGCTGCGCCTCAACATCTTGCCTCAAGCACGGTCGGAGACCCGGGGCTGGGGCCCAAAGACAGCGGTTCTGAAACGCCCGGGCGTGCGCGGGGTCGCGAGAGCCTGAGAGCCCGCCCCACGCGCCGCCGCGGCGGCCCCGGCGTTTCCACGGCAACGCGGCGCGCGCCCGCGCGGTCGGCGCCGGCGTCCCGGAGCGCGGAAGCGAGAAAGGTGACCCGGCATCCACCCGCGCCCAGCGGCTGGGGCGTCCACCTGCGCGCTCCTGCCCGCGCGAGCGTCTGGAACGCGGCGGAAGGCTGGGGGCTGCCGGGCCTCTCCGCGTACTGCGGCAACCCGCCACCAAACTCCCGCCTTCGTCCCTACATGCTGGACTGTGAGCAAAGCAGGAGAAACGGTAACGAGGAGGGAGGGAAAACTGGAGGCCAGTGGGGCCAGTCTCTGCTTATGCGACGCTGAGTCTTAGAAACTGTGCACATCTTGTCCACTTCTCTGTGTTGAAGCCGAACTTGTGGGCTCTTGGAAGGAGCCGTGCTTTCCGCCGTATTCATTTATTCAGCTTTTCACTTATTAAGCAGATATTTACCGAGTTCCCATTTTGTGGAAAAAATAATGTTCGACCCTGGGAATAATACAAAGAATCCCCTCCCCGCCCGTAACCTTCCCGGCCCTGAAGGGCCTTAGAGTTTGATGAGGAGACACTTAAACCTTTGCGATATAACCCGAGATAAATAATAAACAAAACCCCCTATCCTTGGCCTTCGCTTCTGCTGCTCTTCCAAGTAAACACCATCAGGACTAAATCTAGGCTTTATTTCTTTCAAGAACCCCCCCGTGACAACTTGCACCCTTCCCTCTTCCAGACAGCGTTAGGGCCCCCTTCGTGTATTCTGTTGATTTTGTACTGTGTCCCGTAGTCTAGACTTTTGAGCTCTTGGAGGCAGAGGGAATGTAATCTTGGCCTTGTATTCCTCAGCGCTTGGTGCTGATAAAAGTTTGTTTTGGACAAACGGATGTCCCCAGTCGTATGTTACCTCTCTTACAGAACTTTTATTCTCTCATGTTACAGTGTATGCCTCTCTTCTCCCGTTGCATTCATTCAGGAAGTTATCCATTGACTGCCTGGTGTGTTCCAGATGTTATGCTGAGCTCTGAGCATGGAGTGGTAACTTAAAACCAGAATAGTCTTTATTCTTAGAGAGCCCACTTGGAGGGATAGACACTAATCAAACAAATATTGATACATGTAAGATTGTAACTGAGTTGTGTGCTACTGTATCAGTTTTTGCTGTGTAGCAAACCACCACAAAACCTAGTGGCTTACAGCAATGCTTTAGCTAACTCAGGATTCCGTGAGTGAGCTGGGTGGTTTTTCTACTTTGGGTCTGCTCAGCTGGGATCTTTCATACATTCCCGGTCAGCTGGCGGGTCTGCTGGTGGCTGGATGATCTAGGATGGTCTTGCTACCAAGTCTTCTGGTGGGAAGGCTGTCAGCAGGGGCAAAAAAGGCAACATGTTAGTAGCCACTCTTGCAATGTGACACAAGTACTAAGGAAAAATAGATGACACCAAGAGAGCATATACTGAATATAAACGTTTGTTTTGAACTATTTGGGGAAAGGACTAAAGTGACGTTTGAGCTGAGATCCAAAAATTGGGAAGGGGGTAACTAGGTGAAGAGGGAAGGAAAAACAGTCCAAAGAGAGGGATAATACAGGCAAATTGCCCTCCCCCCTCCACCCTGTTCCCATCTATACCTCAACTTCATGTTTCAGAAAATGGTACCAACCTCCAGCTGATTGTTCTAGTCAGAAACCTAGCAGTCATCCTTTCTTTTCCCTAGGCACGCTGGCAGTTATCACCTGTTCTACCTCCAAAACGTATCCTGAACCATTCCTTTTTCATTTCTACATCACCATAATCCAAACTACTGGTATTCACCTTTACTGCAAACCCTTCTTACGGGTCTCTTCAGGTCCATAGTTACACACTGAAATGCAAAATAAAAGATGTGGGTCAGATCATGCCAACCTTTCAGAGCCTCTGCTGGATGTGTCTGAATGTTTGTGTCTCCCCAGAATTCATATGTTGAAATCCTACCCACTAAGGTGATGGTATTAGGATGTGGGGCCTTTGGAAGGTGCTTAGGGCATGAGGGCAGAGACCTCATGAATGGGATTAAGTGCTCTTATACAAGAGACTCCGGAGAGCTCCCTAGCTCCTTCTGACATCATGTACTGAGCAGACGGTCTCAGCAGGCACTGAATTGGCCAGTGCCATGATCTTGGATCATGAATTGTGAGAAGTAAATTTCTGGGTTTTTTTCTGTGCTACCCAGTTTGTAGCATTTTTGCTATAGCAGCTCAATGGACTAAGACTCCCAGTGTACTTAAATAAAATTTTAAATTCTTACTCTGGCTATTAAGGCTGTATCTCACTCTTGCCTACCCATCTACCTTCTCTCACTGCTATAGCTACAATATCTTTCTTTCTGTCTCTAGCATATATCTAGCTCATTTCAGAGTCAGTTTTGTGTTTGTTTTCTCTGCCTAGAACACTCCATTCTCATATCTGGCCCCTTTTCATCATATAGAATTCTACTTAAAAGAGACCTAGAGAGTGAGGCTTTCTCTGATCACCTAGCTATCACCATATCACCCTTTTTTGTTTCCTTTGAAACACATGCTACTCTCTATTTGTTTATATGCTGTTTGCCTCCCATGACTAGAATATATTCTCCATGAAACCAAGCACTTTGCTGTCATGTTCATGTTAGATTTCCCATACCACCACAGTCCTTGACTCATAGTAGGAACTCAGTAATTAGCTGAGTTTGTCAGTGAATGAGTAAGTGAAAACCCCATGACAGAGGGAGCATGGTGTGTGTGAGGAAATGGAAGAAAACCAGTGAGGCTGGAGCAGAGGAAGTGGGCATGATGATATGTGTTGTAGTGGGAGGGTAGGTAGGGCCAGGTATTGTAGGGCATCTCAGCCATGCTAAGGAGTTTGGTTCTTGTATTAGTCAGGGTTCTCCAGAGAGAACCATATATATGGTTTTCTTATAAAGAATTGGCTCCTATAATTATGGAGGCCAATTCCCAAGATTTGTAGTCAGCAAGCTGGAAACCCAGGAGAGCTAATGGCATGAATTCCAGTATGAAAGCTATTAGGCTCAAGACCCAAGAAGAGCTGATGTTTCTGGCTGGGTCTGAAGACTGGAAAAAACCAAAATCTCAGCTCACACAGTCAGGCAGGAGGAAATCCGTCTTCCTCAGCCTTTTTGTTCTTGTCAGGTCTTAAATTGGTTGGATGAGGCCCACCCACATTAGGAAGGGCAATCCCTTTTACTCAGTCTACCAATTCAAATGTTGAGCCCATCCAGAAACACCCTTACAAACACACCCAGAGTAATGTTTAGCCAAATGTGTGGGCATCCTGTGGCCTAGTCAAGGTGACACAGATTAACCATCAAAGTCCTTATCTTGGTATCTATGTGAAGATATTGATGTGCTATAGCAAGGACTATCTTATTCATCATGTAACTCAAATCTTTTAGCAGATGCCTCATATATAGTATAGTAATTGTTGAATAAATATATATTGAAGTGCACTCTTTCAGTCTCCACCCAATGTTTGAACTGAATGTGTTCTAGGAACCCTTCTCCTGAAATTTAGGCTCTTTGATCTTATTCTCCTGTCAACAGACATTTCAAAACATGCATCAGTACAATTGTTCTCCAGTCTTTGCACTGCTTGGAGAAACTTTCTTTCTTACAGGCTATACTTTCTCCTAGGACACCTCTCATAGAAGAGGAGCTGGGAGACTGGGGAGGCCAAGTGCCATGGCCAAGGTCACATGATGAGATAGTAGGGGAGCTGGAATGAAATCCTTTGTCTTTCCTCTCTCTCCAGTGCTCTTTCCACTGTACCAGGATCCACTCCCCCCCATTATGCTTTTTTGAAAAGTTATTAAACAAATGTAAACATAAATAAAGTACTAAGTAGTCAATGAATGTCATTTCATGTTTGGAATAAGGAGAGGGTGTGCCCATCATTGGTTGTAGCATTCCAGAATCTCTCGGGATTATTGTTCCAGGTTACAAGCAGTGTAACCTGACTTTTCTTTTTTTTTTTTTTTTTTTTTTACAGAGCTGATGTTTATTATGTTTATTCACAATTTGATTATGCTCAGTGGACAGCACATCTCCAGGAACCTCCCGGAGCCTGGGGATCTGAGCTATGGTCACAGACCATGCAGGAGGCTTCACTGGGGTTGGGAGGCTGAGGGCTTTCCCTGGGCCCATCTGCTGATAGGGAAGGAGGAGAGGCTGCGAGCATCACCATTTCTTAAGTTAGGGCTTTCTCCTTTCTACACTTCTCCACGCCCTATTAGTCGTCATCATCATCATCCTCTGGAACAAAAATATCATGCTCCTCAAGTAAAGCGGCAAAGTTCTTGCTAATTAGCATCCCGACATGGAGAAAGGGGATCACAATGGAGAACACACGGAGAAGGCCGAAGGACATCCTTTATTTACAAAGTCATTCCACAATTCGTTTTTCATCCCATCAACTCTATGGTAGAGAGGTTACATGACTTGTCTATACTGGATGCATAAAGCGGAGTCTTGTGGCTCCGGAGAGCCAGGGCACCGCACTCCTCACGATGAGCTAGTAGTGCTAAGTGCCGTCTTCCTCCGCTCTTGCCCCCCATCTTCTGTCTCCACGTACCCTGCTCAACTCCTAACCTGACTTTTCTTAAACTACAACTGCCTTTTCGTATACCACTATATGATATTTGTATATTTATTGTGAAAAACAGCACAATCTTATTTTGTATAAAATTGAATAAATTCCAGTGCGGGATGGCTTAAGAAAGGTCCAGTGGAGACAAAGAGTTACATTAACTTCATTCACTCATTTTTTCAGCCCTACTTACTGAGAACTCATCATGTACCAGATGCTGGATTTACCAATCTTTAATCCAAGTGCTCTGAATAACGTGGAAAGAGACAGCTATACACATAACTGGATCATTAAAAATTTTTTTCTATTCTTTTTTTAGAACTTTAGAGGTGATGATGTTTAAATTAGATTATTTTATTTAAATTGTTATTATTTTGTTAATCTTTCTCCTCCCCTACCCTTTTGTCCCATTTTATTTTTAAAAATAATATATATATATATTTTTTAAATATTTAAATATTTAAATATTTAAATATTTAAATATTTTAAATATTTTTTTTTAAAAAAAATATTTTTTTATTTTCCTTATGTTTTTCTTTTGGCTGCGTCAGGTCTTAGTTGTGGCACACGGGATGTTTGTTGAGGCGTGCAGGATCTTTTTGTTACGGCGCACTGTCTGCTTGGGTTTTCTCTCTAGGTACGGCATATGGGCTTCTTTCTAGCTGAGGCGTCACGTTGAAGTGTGCGAGCTCAATAGTTGTGGCACGTGGGCTTAGTTGCCCCACAGTATATGGGATCTTAATTCCCTGACCAGGGATGGAACCTGCATCCCCTGCATTGGAAGGCGGATTCTTTACCACTGGACCACCAGGGAAGTCCCTGTCCCATTTTAGAAATGAAGAAGAATGTTAAATGACCAACTATGATATATTGTATTTATTTGCTAGTGTTTATGCCTAAATAATATAGCTTCAGATGCAGCTGTCCCATGTTAAGAAGCTTAAGCAAATTGTTTTAATGCTGATGCACAGAAATAAACCTCTCTCCAGTAAAATTTTAGGCTTTTTTTGGTTTGTATGATTTTATTTCTTGCTTTAAAGATTCAATACTTGAGGGGATATAGGGGGCTCCTTCTAGTGGTGAATTTAGTATTTAAAATTACTTGGTCAAGCACTAGAAGCCAAGAGTGTAGAATGAAACTACCCCAGAATCCTATCTCATTTAACACCAGTTTTTAAGTAGAGATCACCTATAGCCGGTTTTCTTTTTAGTAATTAAGGGGCGGAGTATTATTAAGTGATAAAGCACATGGGCTTTGATGGACTCTGAGGTCTCATACCTGGAATTAAATTCTGGCTCCATCATTTTCTCAACTGTTAGCATGCCTAAGAACCACCTGGAGGGCATGTTAAAACACAACCTTCTAAGCCCCACCCCAGAGTTTCTGATTTGGGAGGTCTGGAGTGAGAGCCAAGAATATGCATTTATAACAAATTCTCAAGTGATACTGATACTGCTGGTCCAGGGACCACACTTTGAGAAGCACCATCCTTGACTCCTAGAGTGGTGAAACTAAATCTTATATTCCTCAAGGTTTAGCCATAGGGTTATTTTGAGGGTTAAATGGAACAGTAGATGTCAAGCGCTTAGCATGGTACCCGACATTGTAAGTGCTCCACAGAGGTTAACTCCTAGTAATAGATCTATCAGTGTTTTCCAATGTGAAAAATTCAAAAAATAGCGTAGAGCTTTTTAATAATATTGTTGTTGAGCTACTATTGTTAGCTAAGTTATATCAGTAATTTTACTTATGATTGAGTGTGCTTGACAGTGTACTAAGCATTATTAATATATCTATTAGCATCTCTCTCATTAATACATTGATCTTTATGCATATTGCTTTGAAAAATTGATACAAAACCAAACAAAAACGACACACTGAGGGGGCTATGTCAAAGAGACAGAGGGGCCAATTGAAAGGGATCCCAGTGACCAAAGTTGGGACAATTTGAGCGATAAAATGAAGTGGTAATTGATTATAACCCACATTAAAAAGTAAATATCCCTGAGTTCATGCTGAGATAAATAAATGATTGAAGGAAGGAAGGAATAAACAAACAAATAAATGGAGAAGAAGAGACAAATCTCCCATGTTAGTAATTCCAAATATTCTCTGTAGACGCTATGCCCTCAAAGACGTGGGGGATAGCTACCCACTCCTTAAGTGTGAGCAGCACGTGGTGACTTCCTTGCAAAGAGGGAAAAAAGAGTAACTTTACAGCAGAGAAACATGGCACACACCACCTCAGCCGGTGACTAAAGTCAATATCAACAGTGGTAAGTCATGTTACTAGTATGTACCCTTTATATAATATACCTTAAACTTATGGTCTTCTTCCTGATAACCCATAACCCCAGTGTAACCATGAGAAACACATCAGATAAATCCCAGTTCAGGGATACTTTACAATATACCTGACCATTACTTCTAAAATTTGTCAAGGTCACCAAAAATAAGGAAAGTCTGAGAAACTGTCACAGCCAAGAAGACCTTAAAGAGACATGACAACTAAATGTAATGTCATATACTGGATGGGGTGGGTCCTGGAACAGGAAATGTACATTAGGTAAAAACCAAGGAAATATGAATAAGGTATGGAAAAAAATAAAGCAAAACTCTGACTTTTAGGAAAAAAAGACATATATTTGTTATTAGAAGTAGCATCAAAACTTGAAAGGCATAGTAAAGAAAATAAATGCCAATGCTATATGATAAAATGTTATGTTAATATTAGGTGAACATTTTTCTAGATTGATCTATCTACCTATCTAATAAGTAGAGGTAGAGCATATATATGCATATATATACATACATATATATATACACACACATATATAAAAAATAGGCATGAAGACAAGCAATCTTATAAAAATAAGATCTTTATATGTGTTTTTAAATTTTATTTTATTTTATTTTATTTTATTTGAAAATCATTATTTGATTTTTTTTTACATTATGAAATATATCAAACATACAGAAAATAATTAACTGACCCCTATAGTAGTATATTTACTGGGCAGATTTGACCATATTTGCTTCAGTTTTTTTAAATAAGCAAAAGTTCCAGATGAGTTAAAGCCCTACCCCTTCATCTTGTTCCCTCTGTCCCTTTTGTCTCATAATAATCGCTGTCTTCAAGATGGTGTGTATTCTTTCCATGCCTGTTTGTATATTTCTACTTTACATGTATGTGTTTATTAATGATGTACTATTTTTATGTTTTTGAACTTTACATAACTGGTATAATATGTTATATACCTTTCTGAAATTTACTTTTCAACACAGCATTATGTTTTAGAGATTTATCCATGTTGTTACATTTAGTACTGTATAGATTTCTTTTGTATGAATAACTGATGGTGTTTTCGTTCTTCTGGTAAATATTGGTTGTTTTTTTTCCTATTTACAAAATATGCTGTAATGTATATGTACTTTATTTTCTCTAGAGTATCTGTATAGAAATGGTTTGTCTTTTCATGTTGTTTGTAATCACTTTTGCATAGCAGAAGTTTTTAATATTAGGTCTTTAATCTAGTTGAAATTTATTTTTGTATATATTCTGAGGTAAAGATCTAATTTTATCTTTTTCTATATGGATAACCACTTGTGCCAAATTAATGTATTGCATTTTTGGTTCACCCCCCCCCCCCCCATCCCAACTGATTTTTTTCTTTCTTTTTTTTTTTTTTCCTACTTCTGTCATATACCAATTTCCCATACATAGTTTTGCCTGTTTCTAGGCATTCTATTCTACTGGCCTATTTGTTTATAGCTGGACCAATTCTAAACCATTTACATTAGAGATATTCTGAATGGATCTAATTACTCGAAACAAGAGAAACTTGTTTGTTGATTTTTAAGATAAATCAAGTTGGCCTTAATGTGAAAAAAATTTTTAATGGCTGTAACCACAATTTATTTTCCTAATCCACTTTTTGGGGACAGCTTTATTGCGATATAATCTATACACAATTTGCCTATTTAAAGTGTACAATTCCATCTTTTTTAGTACATTTACAGACTTGTACATCTATTACCACAATCAATTTTAGAACATTTTTATCACCCCCAAAAGAAACTCTGCACACATTAGTGGTCACTCTCTATTTCTCCTCAATCCTCCCAGCCCCAGGCAATCAATAATCTACTTTCAGTCTCTATAGTTTTGCCTCTTTGGGACATATATAAATGAAATCATACAATATGTGGTCTTTTGTGACTGACCTTTTTCACTTAAGATAATGTTTTCAAGGGTCATTCATCTTATAATATGTATCAGAACTTTGTTCTTTTTTTTGCTGAGTAATATTCCATTGTATGGATATACCAGTTTGACTTATCCATTCATCTGTTGATAGACATTTGGGTTATTTCCACTTTTTGGCTATTACAAATAATGCTGCTATGAACATGTGTCTTCAAGTTTTTGTGTGGACACATGTTTCTATTTCTCTTGGTTATATACCTAGGAGTGGAATTACTGGATCCTTTGATAATACTATGTTTAACTTTTTGAGGAACTTCCAGACAGTTTTGCAAAGTGGCTGCACCATTTTACATTCCCACTAGCAGTGTGTGAGAGCTCCAGTTTCTCCACATCCTCACCAACACGTTATTATCTGACTTTATTGATTCTAGCCATCCTAGTGAGTATGAAGTGGTATCTCAAAATGGTTTTGATTTCCATTTCCCTGATGGCTAGTAACGTTGAGCATCTTTTCATGTTCTTATTGGCCATTTGTAAATCTGTTTTGGAGAAGTAACTATTTGTATCTTTTGTCTATTTTTAAACTGGGTTGTTTGTCTTTTTATTACTGACTTATAAGTGTTCTTTATATATTCTAGATATAAGTCCTTATCAGATATATAGATTTGCAAATATTTTCTCCTATATATGGATTGTCTTTTCACTTTCTTGATAGTATCTTTTGAAGCACAAAAGTTTTTAATTTTGATGAAATTCAGTT